CTCAAAGACATCTTCACAGACACATCACTCAAAGCAGTGATAGTGAAGGCAAAGATAAACAGCTGGGACTACATCAAACCAAAGAGCTTCTGCACAGCAAAAGAGACAATAACCAAAACAAAGAGAAACCCCACCGACTGGGAGAACATTTTTGCACACAACACTGACGATAAAGGACTGATCCCAAAAATCTACAAAGAGCTGATGAGACTCAACAAAAACAAAGAAAATAATCCAGTCAAAAAATGGGCAGAAGAACTAAAAAGAAACTTCTCTGAAGAAGAAATGCAAATCTCCAACAGGCATATGAAAAAATGTTCAACATCACTGGTCATTAGGGAAATGCAGATCAAAACTACAATGAAATACTATCTTATACCAGTGAGAATGGCACATATTAAAAAAAACTAGCAACAACAAATGTTGGCAGGGTTGTGGAGAAAAAGGAACTCTCCTGCACTGTTGGTGGGAGTGCAAACTGGTCCAACCACTATGGAGAGCTGTGTGGAGATTCCTCAACCTGCTAAAGATAGAGCTTCCATATGATCCAGCAACCCCACTCCTAGGTATTTACCCAAAGGACACAGAAACATTAATTCCAAAGGGCACCTGCACCCCCATGTTTATAGCAGCACTGTTTACAATAGCTAAGCTTTGGAAACAGCCCAAATGCCCAAAAATAGATGACTGGATTAAGAAGATGTGGTACATATATACCATGGAATATTACTCAGCATTCAAAAAAGATAAACACATGCAATTTGCAACAACATGGATGGAGCTGGAAGGGATCATGCTCAGCAAAATAAGCCAGAAAGAAAAAGAAAAATACCAGATGGTCTCATAGCAGGAATTTAGAAAACCTAAATAAGGGACCAGGAACGAATTGAAATAAAGTAAAAATCAAAATCAACAAGCAACTATAGACCAGAGACACACTACATTGGGGACAGGGGGAGGAGAAGAGGGACCGGGGTGAAAAATGATGTAAGAATTATATAAAATAAAATAATTTATTAAAAAAAGAATGTTTTTCTTAAAGTGTTGTTCTTAAGAAAATACACAGTTAAGTCATTGTGTGTGCATTTCTCATTTTATCAGACTATATGTTTTATAAATTTGCACCACCTTCTGTGTTAAACAAAAGCACAAAAGATGGGAGGATGTCGTTAATTTTAGTTTTTCAAAATACAGGTTGAAGTTTATAGTGCTGGATGAAAACTAGATTTTGGCAGTGATAATGATGTAGTAAGCGGAGAATTATAATGGCACACACCTGAAACCTACGTAATGTTATAAACCAATGTTATGTCAATAAAAATTTGTGTAAAAAGACAGACTTAAAACATTAAGTGATTTGGCCAAGATTAAACAAGAAATAGGATATGCAACAATGTTTAAAAATAAAATTCTGCCTTCTCTCTTCAGCCTTATGTGAAAACCTAAGGCAAAATGTTTGAAAATTACAAGCCTCGCCATAAAATATAGTAGATGATAAAAAAATAAGTGAAACCTTGTCTGTCTAAAGTTGCAAATGCTAAAATTAAGATGATTTCATTGTCTACTAGCCTAACTTGTCTTCCCTAAGAATGTCCACAAGGATTTTAGGTGAAATATTCCTATAAATAAAATGTAGTATAAAATGAGACCATAGCAAATTCCCTGCAGTTCAGGCAGAAAGGGCAAAGAGCAGCTTCTTTTGTTTTAAAAAAATCAATTTTTGTTTATGGGTGGGATTTTGCTATTTGAAGAGGGAGGGCAAAAGGACAATAATGTTTTTATCTCTCTCTCTACCTGTCATGAACTAGACGAAATATAACTTTTCTAGACAAAAGCATTCTCTTTGCTCCCTCAGCCAACACAAGACAATGTAAAGAGTGCCAGAATTTTAAGAAAACCACATAGAATTAAGTCATTTTATCGAATAACGTGGAAGAAAAAGTTTCTGTGTACAGCTTTCATGGATTACCCTGCATCAAAATTTACCTACTTGGGCTTTGACTTTTCAAATATATTAATTTTAAAATAGACATTTTATTATTTTTTTTGCATAAAAAAATGGGGTGTAGGGGGATAAGAGAACTCACCAGAGATAGAATGGGGAGCAGAACAGGTAGATTTACTGAGATATACTACTGAGGGGAGCAGCAGGCAAGACAGGAGAGGTCTGCTATGCCATGTGGGTCAGCTCCCTGGCCAGGGATCGATCTCGTGACTCAGTGGCTGGCAATAGCTTGATAGCACTGAGACTTAACCCCTGTGCCACCAGAGAGGTCCTTAAAACAGACTTTTTATAACACAGTGTGCATGTGTACGGATGTGTGAGCACATATGTATGTGAAAGACAGAGACATCCCTTCAATGAAAATGTGTTTTCTTTCATATCGTTTGTCAATCTCAGACTGCCCAACTTTAGTTGGGAATCCAGAATTTAAATTTAGAGACTTGGCTATAAATAGGAATTTAATCTGAATTATAATATTTTTCCAAGTAGTTCCCAAAGAAATTCAGTGGATTAGCACCATCACAATTCACAACAATTTTATTAATTCTCACTGATTATTTCACGAAGATTTTTTTTTTATTTTTTTTTATTTTATTTTATTTTATAGAGGCATGTTTTATTTATTTATTTTTGTTTGTTTGTTTGTTTTGTTTATACATGCACTGGGTACAGTCAGAAGCACGGGAGGGTGAGAGAATTCACCAGAGCCAGAGCGGGGAGCAGAGCAGGCAGAAGGACCGAAGTACACTGCTGAGGGGAGCAGCGGGTGGCAGGAGAGGTCTGCGCACCATGTGGGATCCTCCGCCGGTGGCCGGGGAGCAGCCGGGGATCGAACCGGCGCCGCAGAGGCCGCGGGCAGCTTCGCAACCCAGCGCTCAACCGCTGCGCCATCGGGGAGGCCCTATTTCACGAAGATTTTTAAGGAAGGTAACAATGAAAATGTATAAACATTGCGATGTTCTTGAAATTACTTGGGATTTTTTTTAATTGAAGGATTTGCAAAAGATACATGTTCTGAAATATTTTAAGAAAGCATGAAATATATCACATCCCATTAATTTTCTGACTCAAAATAAATAAACAGAAAATTGTCACACATGCTAAAAATATGGCCCATTCCTTCTTGCCAAAGCAATCCTCCCTGGAATTAGCTTTGAATATTACGTATTTTCCATCTCTCCCTATATTTAGTTGATAACGCTGCCATCCTTGATTTTCCCAAGTACTTCTTAAATCCTTATTTAGCTCTACAAATCATAGTAAGTTGTGATAGAAAGTTATGTCAAATTAGAGGAAACAGAATTACAGTCATTTTAACTGTGTGAACTCTGCAGAAACTCTATTCAAACAGTCACACGGAGGTATGTGGGTTGGGACTTCAATATCTGCATTTGGGGGAGAGAGGCACACAAAGCAAAGCATAACACTATTATGAAGGGGTTTTAATTTAGAAAAATTCCTTATATAAAAAAATAACATCTGAATAAAGAAGAAAAATCAGACCACGTCTCTGTGGGTGTGACCAGCTTGGGTAAGATGAAAGACATGGTAACCACACACTCAGCTGGTCGTAGAGATTTGTAAAATAACACCTGTATCTATTACAACTCTTTGGTTGCAAGTGAGAGAAAATCTAGCCCAGTTTGGCTTAGACAACATGTGGCAATGCACTGGCTCCTGTAATGGAAAGTCTAGGGGTAGGGCTTCCTTGGGTAAGTCTAGAGTTGGGGCACAAACAATGTCATTGGATGAAATGTTCCTGTTACTCTGCCTTTATCTTGGTGGCGTCATCCTCCCAGACTGGATCCAGTGGGAGGACATTCCCACAGTCATCTGTGAGACTCCCTCCATGTCATGTCCCAGTTCGGGTTATGTGTCCAAAGAAAAGAGAATTTTTCTGAGTCCTAAATCTGAACTCATAAACTTCACATCTCTAATCAGTGGCGTTTGTTCTGCCTGTGTGGACGACAAATGTGGGGTGGGAGGAGAAACTGATCACTGAATAAACATCAGAAGTTTTTACCAGGGAGGGGAATAAATGGATACGGTGTGCCAAAATCAATAAATATCCACTACTGAGACCCAAATATCAAACCCAGAAGTCAGTGGGTCAACTTGGGGACAGTCTTTTTTTACTTATACAGATCGCCATCAATTCAACACAAATTAGCAACGGGTTTTTAAAACCATCAGAATTCTCATATAATGCCAAATTTATCTGTAAAATGACTATCAGTTAAACCTCTGATTTTGCATGCAAAAACCCATGTCCACTAAACTCTGCAAAAGATGTCAAATAACTGAAAATAATGGCTTTGATTTATTGAGTTTGAATAACCAATGTGGCTCAAGAATGCAGAGCAACAGCCAAGAGAGAGTAAGCCGAAGTGAAACTAAGAAGGATATTTCCTCCCAAGTGACCTCTTCTGGTCTCTGAGCAGTAGAGAGTATTCAACTAGTATATCCACTGAGGAGAAATCAATATTTTATTTTCCAATAGACTAAGAAAAGGGAAATTTTTTAAATTTTTATTTGAAGGCTTAAATTATTAAATCTGTCTATCTCCTCTCAGTTCATTAGCCTCGTGTCACAGATTAATGGAAATGATATTTCTGGGCCCACACTCTTCTAGATCATATAAATGGGCCATGGCAAATTACTGATTGCCGGTCTTCCATCTCAACTCTTAAATGACTCATATATTTACTGAGTCATGTTTGGGACCTAGAATGTGGAGCCTCGTTGAGAGAATGTACATGTGAAGCAGCTTCTTGATTAGGCATGAACTACTTTTGTTCGAGGAGATTCTGTGACATTGTTCCTTAGGATTGCCATATAGTTTTTCACTTTAAGATTAAGGAAGTGGATCCTCCAGAGTAGCTCCATCTTTGGATTTGTCTGTCATGCTTTTTAGTCAGAAGAGGAAAGCAAGCCATGAGCCTAAGAAGCATAACCAATTTTATCATTTTTAAGCAAGATGTTTGGTGCACGTTACCTGATACATGGCAATGGAAACTATGCTTTCTTCTTTCCTTCTTTTCTGTGTAGGGAAAGGGTCTAGCTTTGCACACTTCCTTCTTTCCTCTTCCTTTCTTCATCTAACAAAGGGGCTTGAAAAAAAGGGATCAGACCAGGCAAAAGAACACTCTGAACCCTACTTAAGAGAAAACGACTTCCAATTATCAAACTCCCTACAGTGCACACCAAAGAACCCGCTGAAAGTGGTTAGGAAGTGTCAGCAATTTTAAATGTGTGACTAATTATTTCTGTACCTCATCAACAACTCAGCGCTTTTATTCTTGGTAACCATGACTCACCCTCTTCATTCATCACTTTAACTTTTTCGATTATGGCTATTTGCATGGCAACACCAGAATAATGACCCCCCCCAAAAGGCACGAGGTCTTGGGTGCCATTCAGAGACCCATCTTCCAGCCACTTCTTTCCATAACCAAATCCTGTGAATTCTGCTTCTTTCGGTTCAGTGGGGGAACTGGAGAGTAAGTGAGGACAGTGTTGCTGAAGACCTAAGACTCGGACAAGACTTTTTGTAATAGTATATAAGAGCTATATTTTGAAGTTAAGGAGGCATATTTATGCTATATTTCTAAATGGTCTTTCAAAATATCGCTAGTCATAATTATCCTACCATTCTGACCACCCCCTATAAGTTTATAAGTAACTCAGAATACAACCACTTTTATCTCAAACATGTTAAAGCTATTTGGGTTAGGGGGAAAAAAGAGGGGAAAGGGCCATTTTTTGACGACTATACTCGAAAACCTTAAAACACAACACAAATGTCAGCAATAGATATGCAGCACCACATGTGTGTAGATTTCAATCCTCTCATCTTTTAATAAGCATAATATCAGAGATTCCCCCTGTACTCCTCAAAGCCTAGGACCTAAGCCACAGGTTGCATTCAATAAATACACACTATATAACGGAATAAATGGGAGAACGGATGTGACTAAACATACAGATCAAATACAATAAGAAAATATTTCACTATCTACAACATCGTATCCTCTGTAGAGAAGATAAAACATATTATTAGAAGGTTATTACTCAACGGAGCACTTAGATCTAAATATGAGATTGTGAGTACGAGCCAGAAAACATAGTTATTTATACTATGTTGGGAGGATCACTGGAGATACCTTATGTGGAGGTAACCTAGAGGGAGGTGTTCAATAAAAAGGGACAGAAAAAAAAATTGCCCTGTCTGGCAGCAGAGCCTTTGCAGGGACTTGGAAGACAAAGAATCACTAACAAGAAACTTTATCATTGTTTGTTCTAGAAGACTCGCTGTAATGAACACTTCTTTTGCCTTTCTACAAAATAGTAAATTTTACATTTTTTATACTAATGTGAGAATATTTAAGAAGAGTTTTGGGGAACTTGGTAAGTCTAATTTCTTACCTAGCTAGACATACTGCTGGGAAAGAGACAGTCACAAGACAGCAGCATGGTAAAAGTATAAATTCTTGGGTGGGAATTTTTCAGAAATCTGGAAGAGACCGAAGGCTTGCAGAGGTCCTTAGTGAGACTGGGGGCACAATTCGACCCCATCTAGATGTAAGGTGTTGCAACAAGACCAAGATGCCATCCTGCCTCAGGGTAGCTGCTTGCAAGTGGGAGAAAGATGCTTATACGGGAAGGACCAGGATGTGCTGAGTATCTCTTCCACTGCACAGTTCTCAACCCCCCAGAAACTATCACCATGTTAGCATCAAACAGCTCTGACCAAGACACCTTTCTTCTAAGCTGCTAGTAATTACTGGTATTTAGGATCATTGTGATAGCTGATAGTTACACAAAGGTCACACAATGTGACAGTCGCTAAAACTTAACAAGTGCTATCTCACTGATGGGTACTTATCTATAAAACTCCCCATGAGGTAAGAAAATATGCCCAGAACAGTGGCATTGCTGTACAAACATTATTTAGGTGAATGAATTAATATAAATAGCTAGCATTTATTAAACCTTTTGTATGCACAAGATTCTGTTTTGAGCACTTTTGTGAAGAAATGTACTGAATCCTCCTGCACAATCCCATGGGGTAAATAATATTATTATTACCATTTTTATGGCAAGAAGTTAAAGACTCGCCTACAGCCATAGATCTAGTTTAAGCCTCAGCAGTTGGCTCCAAATTCCACATTCTTCAGCCCACAATCTGCCAAATGAATAATCTAAGGAAAAGGAGGCTCAGGAAAGTTAAACAACTCCACCTTCACCTTCCAAGAGAGAGCAGACACAGGACTCAAACTCAGGTCTGCCTGTCTATAGAAATTGCACCCTCGTTGCATGCAAAAAAAAAAAAAAAAAAAGACCATTAATTATTCACAACAAAAGGGGTTATGAAAATCAGAGCTCAATCATCTTCAAGTCCCACACAAATCTTGGGGCCCCAGGATGGAATGCAGCAGCCCAGAGGAAGGGGAGTCAGAAGTGCCCATGAGACAAGAGAAAGACACCCATTAAATGGAGCGTCTCAGGGCTAGCTTCATGGGTATGTGGCCAACACAGTCACACAGGGCTCGACGCTCAGAAAAAACTCCACTTCCAGGGCAGCCGTTGTCTTGAAATGACACAGTAAGGAAAATAAGGCTTAGAGAAGTTGACAAATGTGGCCCCGGTCACCCATCAAATAGGAGTCTTTGAATTTGCATTTTGCAGGTGAAATCTGCTGGGCCTTCACTGCAGTGGTCCCCTCCCCAACACCACTCCACCAGCTCAGGTTGAGTCTGGGCACCTGGTCTGCCCCACCTTCTCTGGTTGAGTCTTGGCACCTGGTCTGCCCCACCTGCTCCACCTGTCCCCCTGGACACCCTCATCTTGAGGGATGAAAAACTCATAGCCACAGATCAACAAGCTGCATTTGAATAAATATATACCTTTTGTGGATCCCTAAATGCCTTGATAAAGAGGAGAAAGAACTCAAGCTTTCCATAATATGAACAACAGGAGAATATGAACCTGCTTCACACACACAAGCCAGCATACAGCATAGGAAACTGAGAGATTTAGGCTTTCATTTTTTTAACAATGGGAGCACATTTGTGGTGTTAGATGAAGTTATAAGGTAAAAAGGGCCTGAAGACTGCATGGTGGCAGGTTGGAGAAGAGAACAGTTTAGTGGCGGGGAAAAAGAAGATGAAGCAAATTCCGAGGAGCAGAAGAAGAAATCTCGTGGTTCAGCGCACAGTCACCTCTGAGTGCTGGCCGTGTGCCAGGCCCCATAATCAATCCTGAAGAAGTGAGGCCCAGAAGACGGTCACTTCTGTGTTCTCATGAGCTTGGAAGATAACAAGAGCCAGACACTGGGCAAGTGACTGTAAGAACCTAAGCAGAGGTACAGTCTTAGAAAGAAGTAGGACATGTCCTCCTCTAGGATGGGAAGAAGAAAGAGGGAAGAGAAAGACGTAATGGAATTCTGGGGTAAGGAGGAGGGGCAAGGATTTAAGGATCTCGGGATCACAGCTTTTGAATCATCTCAGATACTAAAGAAAATACCTGCTAAGAATGAATGGAACCACCTTAAAATCAATGCCATAAAAAAAGGAAGAATCTGAAGTCACAACTCCAAGGCCAGAATGTGGGTCAGGGCCAGCATCAAAGGGCCAGCGGGAAAGCATAACTGTGCAGTCCCAGGGGTACCTCTTTCAAATGGTCTGGGATGCTTCTTTTAAAAAAAAAAAAAAAGATTTATTTATTTATACAAGCACTGGGTACAGTCAGAGATGCGGGAGGGTGAGAGAATTCACCAGAGACAGAGCGGATAGCAGAACAGGCAGACGGACCAAAGACACTGCTGAGGGGAGCAGCGGGCGAGACAGGAAAGGTCTGCGTGCCATGTGGGACCCTCATCCAAAGGCCGGGGATCAAACCGGCGCTGCAGAGGCTGCAGGCAGCTTTGCAACCCAGCACTCAACTACTGCACCACCAGGGAGGCCCTGGAATGCTTCTTAAAAAAGATTCCCTGACAGGTCCTATGGGAGTTCACCTAAATCCAAGTCCAAGGCGGTGGGCCAAGGAGCTACATTTTTATCAAGTTATTCAGGAAATCCAGAAGCCCTGTGCAATTGTGCTAACCCCTACTGTGTTGGAAACTTCTGTCAAGGCGCTGCAGCAAATTTCATAATTTTAAATGCTTTTAAAAAATAATATAATTGATGTGTTTAATTGCATCTTTAAAGTTACACTTTTTAAAGTTACACTCTCCATCCTTACCCCCACCCCCACCAGACTGTATCTACTGTTTGCTCCCTCTGAACTGTAGTCAAGTTAGATGGGACAATTCTTTTAGACAGTTTTACATGTGCAAGGTACCTCATTGGTTTTCAAGGAAAAAAATAACTACTTTAGATGGACTGAAAACTATTCCAAGAATGAAACTGGCAGACACTACCAAAGATTATATTGTCTAAGTATTAGCTAAATACTGTAGTTCTCAAGTTCTAATTCTATCTCTATATCCATATTCTCTCAACCTCCACCTTTAAGTGAAGTCTAGAAAAATGAAGCTTATTAAATTTCCTGAAAATTATCCTAAACGTAACTGACAGTTGAAGTTAAGTAAGTGTGGGAAGAATTAAGGAAGGGAAGGTTGACAAGGAATCCCTAAATAAAATCCTTAAATTTCACAGACAGCTTTACATGCCAAACAGAATGGACAGTGTAGTATGGATCTATAGGGAATATTCTCTTAGAAAATGATCATTTCCAATGGTTAGTATCCTAAATATTTCTAAAATAATATTGGTACTAAAAAAGTAAATAGCACAATATCTAGGTACAGATGTTCATGTGCCTAATACATTCCAAGTGAAACATGAGTTCCAAAACATTTATAAATCTGTTCATGTTGAAAGAGGAATTTAAGAGACTGATGCAATTATTATCTAAAATTTATGTAAATTATTTGTTCCTTAAGTTGTTTCCCCAAAAAGTTTCCTTTTTCCTTATTGTTGCACTCTAAATTTTCACCCCCATAATAATACCACCAGAATATACTATATATTCAAGGGATATCATCACTAACCAGTCCGGCAATTTAAAAAACAACACCCACTAAAAAAATGATCTTTAACCTTTACCA